AGGGATGTTGCACGTATTCATTATCCCTCATGTACAGACTCAATTAAACCGAGTCTGCAATTCTTATGTTATTTTGCTGTGATTAATGCTTCCGAGGGATCACTTTTTTCCAGAAATCTGTACTTCTTCACAACAGCAGGTGTCAAGTGCCGTGTGGCAGCCTTTAAAAGTAGCCCCGTACTTCACTTCAGTGTTGTTATATTTTCTGGTCCTTCGGGATCATTGATGCCAACACTATAAAGTGTTGAGAATTGAGTACCGCTCCAAGCCGGTGCTAGGGGCGTGAGGGATGTTGCACTTATTCATTATCTCTCATGTACAGACACAATCAAACCGAGTCTTCAATTCTTATGTTATTTTGCAGTGATTAATGCTTCCGAGGGATCAGTTTGTTTCCAGAACTTTGTACTTCACAACAGCAGGTGTCAAGTGCCGTGTGGCAGACGTAAAAAGTTGCCCGTTACTTCACTTCAGTGTTGTTATATTTTCTGGTCCTTCGGGATCATTGATGCCAACACTATAAATTGTTGAGAATTGAGTACCGCTCCAAGCCGGTGCTAGGGGGGCGTGAGGGATGTTGCACTTATTCATTATCCATCATGTACAGACTCAATCAAACCGAGTCTTCAATTCTTATGTCATTTTGTTGTGATTAATGCTTCCGGGGGATTACTCATATTATTACTCACAACAAAATAACATAAGAATTGCAGACTCGGTTTGATTGAGTCTGTACTTGAGGGACAATGAATGTGTGCAACATCCCTCACGCTCCCTAGCACCGGCTTCATCTTCACTAAAAGCCTTTTGAAAAAGGACTGAAATCTCAGGATAATTTTGCTGTTCCTGGATAAGCGTATCCTTGACAGTGTATGACCTTGACAGCGTATCATGACCTTGATCTTTAGATCTTGGTGTAGAAAAATCAGATATTGAAAAATCTGTCTTTGTTTCAGACAGAGTAGGAGTGAGAGAAAAAATTATTTCATTATCAAAAGACTGACCTATAAAAGTATCAACTAAGTCAATATCTGAACAATAATTATCTTTTTGAATGGCCTTATTAGCCATAGCTCGAGTAACTGCACATGAAGGGTAAAGGTCAGGAATTTCCTGCTCAATGGGGTCAGGTGTCTGATCAACATAAGGAGTGTCAGTTACAAGTGGATTAACCACTACCTTATCTCCAGCTAAGTCATTACCTAGCAATAAATGAACACCTTTAAAGGGTAAGAAAGATCTTATACCTACAGACACCGGCCCAGTTACCGAATCTGAGGACAAATAAATATTATGGAGAGAGACATTACAAAAACCACACTCTACACCCTGAATAAGGACACTAGATCCAGAAGAAGTATCCTCAGAAAAAGGCAGTGTATCTGCTAAAATAAGAGATTGAGAAGCTCCTGTGTCTCTTAAAATTTTAATAGGAGTAGGTGGGCAAGTATCAACGATAAGTGACACGGAACCTTCAGAAAGGAATGGTTCATAAAACTCCATTATAGAATCAGACTTGGGTTCTTTGACCTTCAAAAAATTGCATTGTTATCAATACAAGACTGAGGTTCAGACCTTGAAGTGGTAAGACCTGTGGGTTTGGCCTCATCACGTTGCTGTTGCGTCCTTTTTAAGGTAAAGCAATCAGAAATAAGATGTCCAGTTTTCTTGCAATAATTGCATGTAGGGCGAGATAAGGGACTATGAACTTTATGTTCATCAGATGACTTTAGTTTGGGAGTATTTGACTGACTAGATGAGCCAGATAAATTACTAGAACTGAACTTGGAATTCAAATGTGAGGGTTTGGATTTCCCTTTATTTATAAATGAGACTTTGTGGGTTAAAGAATAATCATCAGCTAGACGGGAAGCTTCTACTAAAGTTTTTACCTGTTTTTTATCTAAGAAAGATTTAACATCAGAGTGAATACAACGTTTAAACTCTTCAACTAACATGAGCTGTCTGAGCTTTTCATTATTCTTATTTATTTTCTTAGATAAACACCACCGATCAAAAAGTTGTTCTTTTTCTCTTGCTAATTCCACAAGGGTTTGACCAGTTTCTTTCTTAGAATTTCTGAATTTTTGCCTGTAGCCCTCTGGTACTAACTCATAACCTTTTAAAAATAATTCTTTTACATTATCATAATTAGAGCTTTGTTCAACAGTAAGTTGTGTATAGATTTCAAGAGCTTTACCAATTAAGATGCTCTGTAAAAGTAATGTCCAGTGCTCTATTGGCCATTTTAAATTTTCAGCAACCTTTTCAAAATGAAGAAAATACTTATCAACTTCTTTTTCTTGGAAAGGTGAAACAAGCCTAATATTTTTAGTGACATCAAATTTTGAATTTATTCTACGTTCAAACTGATTTGCTCTCTCTTTATTTCTTATTCTCTCATTCTTAACTAAAATTGCCTTTCTTCCCTTCTTTTTCTTCCCTTTCTTTTTCTAACAGTAATTGCCTTTCTTCCCTTTCTTTTTCCATCTGTCTTTCTTCCCTTTCTTTTTCTATCTGTCTTTCTTCCCTTTTTTCTAACTGCATTTTCTCTAGTTCAAATTTAAATTGAAGTTCAAGCTCTTTTATCTTTATTTCTGGGTGTGCTTCAACAATCTGAGAAAGTGCATCTTCTCGAAAATTTCTCCATCCACAAAATAACGAACCATAAGATTTTTAATTTCTTGTTTACGCATGACAGATTTAATTTCTGATAAATTATACTTTTTTGCTACATCGAGCAAACAGTTTTCTTAGCCAAATCTAATACCTCCTGGGAAGGGTCAGCTACAAACTTTTCTAAATCAAAAGACAAGACTGCTTGCTGCTGGTTTTTAACTTAAAAGTGGTGTGTTTTCAGAATTGAAAGGCACACTTAATAGAACAACAATGATATCAACTCAGATGAGAAAATACGGTAATAATAAAATGTAAAATAAACGGTAATAATTTCCAATAATGTAGTCAAAATAAATATTTAATCCCGGACGAGCCCCCAATTTCTGTTACGAGCCAGGCGTAACGAGAAAGAAAAGCCAGCAACAAACTTGTAACAATAACAAATTTATTACAGAAAATTATTAAAGAAAAATCAAAATAACAAATTATACATGTGTACAAATAACTGAAGTCCAAATAAAAATGTTCAATTCAAATGTCTAGTCTGATCCTGGCATAATCCCTTTTTGAATAGCACATGTACAGTTAAATCCAAGTTTAATCCAAGAGCACTTTAGAATAAATTCCCACAATAAAATCCACAATAATAATTTAATCTATTTTAAAATCAAAGCACCAATAAATCACTTAATATCCAAGTTGAATAATACTCCAAATAACTTGAAAGGTAACTGGTGACTTAATAGATAAAAGAAATGAAAAATATCCCGTAATATATATATATAAACTAGGAACATTCCAGAAAAGTATAAAAAACTATTATGTTCTAGAGTAATCATAATCTAGCACTTTCAACAACAAAGAATAATCTGGAAATTTCTATCTAAATATAATGCACGAATCATAATCTTGAATTTTCTACAACAGTTAAGAAAGTTCTAGTACATACATGTAGTTTATGTTCTAAAAATAGAACAATGATAATACTATATACTTAGTGCTCGCCAATCTTTTTAAGCCAATCCCCGACGAGGATTTTTCAAATTTTCAGGTTACAAATCTTAATAGAAGAGATTTTATATAAACTGGACGTTTTATATTATAAAACGCAAGTGGGCGGAGCACTAAGCCGGTTAGAGTGCATATTGGATGTTCTTCGTAAATAAGAAAGCTACAGTCGCTTCGCAAGCTCCGCTCCTTTTTAGCTTTCTTATTTACGAAGAACACCCAATATGGACTCTAACCTATACATAAAATATGTTGCATAAATAACAATATGAAATCCCTGATTGACTCGGAATTTCTATTAAGTTTAAGACTTTAAAAATAAAAAGACAAACATCTAAATTAAATGTTCATATTATGTTGAATTATAATATCTAAATTATTATTAAAATAGTTTACTAACACTGTAAATAAGCATGAACTTACATGTTATGTATCAACAGATCTTCACTTAATAGATTTTGTTAATAAAATATTTGATGAAGATAAAATATATTGTTTCAGCATTTCGTTATATACTCATACTGTAAAATCCGACTTCTAATAACAAAGTTATGGGCCGGACATAAATTTGCTGCAAGGTCATACTGTGACCTTCACCTTCAAGGTGCGACCCAAATGTTGCACGCGATACGTCCCCTAATTATGGTGATCATTTCTGTGAAATAGTATAAAATTTGACTTCAAATAACGGAAATAAAGGCTGGACACGATTTTATTGCAAGGTCATGCTAGGACCTTGACCTTCAAGGTAGCGACCCAAATATTTGTGCGACACGTCGTCTCAATATGGTGATCATTTCTGTATAATAGTTGTAAAATCGAACTTCAAATAACAAAGTTATGGGCCGGACATGAATTCTGGACGTTAGTATGTACAGACGGACTGACGGACGGACGGACAACCCGAGGACATGATGCTCCCCCGAAATTTTTCGGGGAGCATAATAAATCATTTACTTACTATACTTTAATACTTGAATATGTTCTTTTTTTGGCAAAATCTTTGCCTGTCACTCTTTATTTGCTTTACTTTAAAACAAACGTAACTAATTAGAATAATTTTAAAACGATAAAAAATGGAACTTTTAGACAAGATTTCCAGCATTCAAAACGTTATCTATAATTATGGTGGAATCACGTCAACCCAATCAATGTTTTGCATTTTAGTATCTGTGTATGCATAAAATATGAAAAAGTTATAAAACATGTCATTTTCTGGATCTTGTTTTGAGAGTTTGGAAACATATGGGGTCTAGAGATACCTTTATGATTGGCTTAGTATAATATTTATTTAACGTTTTATTCCGTCAAATCACTTAGATAATTAAAACGAAGGTAAAAGCATATTTTAACAATGAATCAATAACACGTACTTGCCGTCTGAATGGTATCCAGAGGAAGCTATTCCTATTCCAGGTAGAAGATTATTTTTATAGTTATCCGGTACCATACCGATAGCTGGAATGAAATTATTTTAAATGTGTTATTTTATTGTGAAATTCAATGAAGCGTCATCCCATTTTAAAAGTATTAAACTTTAAATTAGAACAAAATAAATAAATAAAAACAAAAAATAAATAAATTGATTAATCAATTGATTGATAAGTATATAAATAAATTTGATAAGTATTTAACTTTGAATTAGAAGAAAATAAATAAATAAATCAAATAATAAATAAAGAGACAATAATTAAATAAATAAAATATTTAATTAATTATTCTAACACTCACGTGATTTTGTCGCTATAGACAAAGAAGGAAAAAATGTTGTTGTTAAACTGCCAATAAACACCGGTTAGGGACTACTTGTATATGCGCTGTTGTGTTTTCACCCTCGATTGTATAGTTTACAAAGCATTTTAAAGCAACAATAAAAAAATATTTATATTTTCAGTTTGTATAATGTTTTCTTTTCATACAATACCGAAATAATATTTCACATACACTAAAGCCACATATTAGATCCATATTAAGTAATAGATATTTTGACAAAACGGCGCCAATCCGTAAGCAGCGTAATGGCGTCATCCTAAGTAAACAACTCGTTCATAAACAAGCTTACGTTATTTCATACAGACAAGAATGATAAATGGGGTACTGATGTAAACACAATACGACGTAAGTTTTAATTGTTGAAAACTTGATAAAATAACGTTGATTTCTTATTATTTCTTTTGTTTAATAATTTCTATATCTTCACAAAAGTAGGGTGCGAAAATCGAACAGCGTTATACGAAAATCGGCACGGAAATATTTCCGCTTGAAAAATAACATCAGTGATTTTCCTTATTTCATCGTGTTAGAATCGAAATTACATCGGCCTGAGAGGTGTATATCGACTATTTAACACCGGTATTGTCGTTTTGATGCGACAAAATTAACCACTCAGGCCTACGGCCTTCGTGGTCAATTTCTACGCATCAAAACTCCAAACCGGTGTTATCGTGGACTAACCAGTTCTCAAACCTCTAAGCATTCAAGAGGTCTTATAATGTGAATAAAAATATATCTTTATAAAAATTCTTTACATATGTACACTTTAATCTTTATGTAACATTTCTGTAAAATTTGACTGAAATTCAACTATTAAAAAAGCTCGATATCCAACTTTGAATAGCACCACCCTCTGTTTTAAAACTAACATGGCCTCTTAAAATAAAGAACCTAATATCAAACCCCTTCAAGTATCTCTAAAAATTCTACTGTTTAGTTTAGTCAATGACGTGATTGTTTTATGACTATCACATGACAATGAAGTACCCTACACAATGCAGTTACCTGCTTTAAGATATTTTGTCTATAATATTAATTTTCACAAACAGTTAATGGTGTATTGATGGGACTTATCAATTTGTATAAAATTACGCTAAGTAATAAAAAATGTTATGTAAATGTTTGTTCCTTTGCACTATTTTCATTTGACATCAGCAGACATGTCTGTCAGAAACAAAGCTTTTATGCACACAAGTTCAGGCCATCATAGTCACTTCTAGTAAAAAAATAACAGCACATGAATGAAAGGTTTGAGAATAGGTTCGGTGTGAGATTAGGTACTTATACCATAAATAGCCAATATACACCTCTCAGGCAAATGTTATTTCTTAAATAAATAATGAATAAATTAATTAATAAATAACTATGTAATTAATAATTTCATACATAAATAAATAATAAATAAATAAATAAAATATTTAGTAAAACCTTAAATGGTTAACGTTTACTGTACATGCTGTAAGACACATTTATTTAACGTAACTAATGACTAATTGAATATGTTATAAAAAAAAGAGTCACGGTGTTCCTTGTAAACTAATGATATTGATACTTTGATAATAAGATAAAATATTATTAATAAAAAATAAAACAGACTTATATTCTACAAAATTTGCTTGTTATGTATTGATGGCAGATTATTAATTAATTTTCAGAACGTATTTACAGACGAAAATAAATATTTAACTTAAAACTCCTTCATATATTTAACATTCATTTTTGTTTGGTTAATGACGATAAGGTATCACTAGATTTTATCATAAACATGATATGCTCAAAAGTCTATCTGAAGGTAATGAGAATTTTTGACGATTCTTCTTTAATTCCTTAAGCAGTATTATCGTACCCAAACTAATTATGGCTTAACACTTGACTCAAGTTACAAATGATCGAACATTATAGTATGCAAACAGTTACCAATATCTCCGTCTCTACCAATGCTCATAACCTCGATTTCAAAACTGTTCCTTCTATCAAATTTCAAGGTATTTTTGTCAATAAATAAACCAAGGTCGCCTTTTGCTTTTTCATCATAACTGAAAAGGAAAGCAAATCAATCGTATTGATAAAAACAGGTAAAAATGTCCTATTATTATAAAATAGTGTTAATCTATACAAAATTTTTAATATATTTTGAAATAATTGCATATAAATTACAAAGTTTAGGTTAGTGTAAAAAATTAGTTGTTTTTTGTCACCTGATAAAGTCTCCGTCAATAATTAGGTTTTTGCAAAGAAGTTGTCTATCCAGCAACGACTGAAAACAAAATATAACGCGAAATTATTCATCATTAATAGTATCGTGTAAAATATAAACACATTTTACATTTACAATATATTTTGATTTCGTGATGATTGAATAAGTCGTTTGAAAAAAATACAAATAAAAGTTACAACACTCTCAAATAATATAGGATACTAACTTGAGCTTTTGGTGAACATAGAGCCTTTGTCACTGGTGTTGCTTTGTTTGCTTTTACTGATTCTTCTCTAAGTGCTGATTTATGAAACAAGAAAAGAAGCAAAATAAATACGGTGGTTTACAAAATAATTTTTAAAAAAAACGTGTATTAACACTCGGGATTAGAAGCTACTGTATAACATTAAAAAAACCTTTATATTAACCATAAATGAATGTAACAAATGTTAATTCTGAAAACATGTTTTATATAAGGCGTTAAATTGATATGACACTTTATAAGTATAAAATGATCATCTTCTTTAAACATGTAGCATTAAAAATTACTATGAAAGTAACAAACTTACCAACACCAGATTCATTTGGCTTATGCAAAGCTCCTAGTTGTTTACAAGTTTTCATTAACTGTTCGAGATTACAGTCACCCGTGAAGTCGTATTTTTCGATCGTATTGTTTGCTTTGATTTTTTCTAGCTGGTCTCGGACGAGATGGAGATTTTGTTTGTATGACAAGGAACTGATGAACAATTTGTAAGGCTGATCAGACTTCTGATGTAATGTGTCTCTTCATACTAGTTGTTTCATCAACTAGGCTTTTAATCTCTTTTTTCTAGATTTCGATCTTTTTCATGTCTGCTGCCATTATATCATCTCCATATTTAAGCATGGCATCGGCAAGTTTTGTGATATGTGAAATAATTTCATCCCTAAACAATTTTGACGTCAAGAGCAAACTTTTTGTTGACATCTTTTTACATGGTTCTTGTTGCGCCTGATGCTTCCTAATAGAGATTTTGCTTCATTCTCATATGTTCTCTATGTCCTTCTTTCAACATTTTTGAACCTGTTTTCCGTCTTTATATCCATCAATGTGTTCAAGTATATACTCTACTTACAACTTTTTATGGGGAAATTATCATACAATCGCCACAACCAACTTGGCCATGTTCGGGACAAGAAAAAAATTTATTAGGTCCGTTTAGATGTTTAGAACAAAATTATCAAACGTTGGTGTTTCACCTTTATTAGATGTTGCCCCCAAACAGTTTGATCCAGTCTATGCCCCCGATTAAGCTTCCATTGTTATGTGATATCAAAACATCGTTGACACATTCTTCTCTTCACACTGTGAACAAAACCATCCGAGTATGTTGATGCCTTACGTTGCTCACAAGGTTTACAATATTTACGAAGTTTCTTTCCAGATACCTCCATATTTCAATAGTCAAATAATCTGAAAATAAACAGTAGTAACAGTTTCAAATATAAGCTAGACACATGATTTTACATTTTGTAGTTTTTAAACAAAAGTAAAGTAAAAGTTTTGGACTGCCTGCTCATCTAATCTTCCTTGCTAGGACAAGGTCATTTTTTTCAATGCACAAATTAGTCTTTGTTTTATAATTTGATAAGGTCATTCTGGTATAGTTGCTTTGATCCATAAACATCTAGTAGAATTTCCAATGACACTAATACATTCTAAAAAGATTTGATTGACATTATGCAAAATTTCTTTTATTATTTGAGTCTGTAAAATCTGGTTTGTTTGTATGTACAATTCAAGGTCTGTAAACTGTAAATGCATTATCGCATCTGCAGGTAGAATAGCATATAGAACATGACTTGATAAAATAACAATGACCCAAACTGGATAAATAATCATATGAGTGATTATCAAAGGTATCCCCCGATTGAAAAGATATTGACTTATCAAATTATTTAACACCACTTAAGTCTTTCAAAATGACTATTTAGCAATCCTGCATAGATGATGATGTTGTTGATTTTCCCATTTTTTCTTTCAAAAATAAAGTATTTAAATATAATGTTTTCATTCCTGTTGATTCCTGCTAATGCAGCAGTTAGAAAGGACTTGTATTAAACATTCATACCGATTTTTGACAAAAATAATTAAACATGTCTTATGGTACTGTTATTGAAATACAATGACTGGCATTTAGTAAGCAATTACTTTATACTACAATTATTTACACTTAGTTCATAACCAAAACATAGAGAAAAAAAATTGTTAAAGAAAGCCCAACACGACAAACTTGACAATGTTACAGGCTAGGTTTGATTGAGCCTGTTCATGAACGGTATTGGAAAATGCAAGTTACCGTCCACGCCCCCCTAGCTCCGGCGTTAGCAGAATTCAACATTGAAACATGAAAAATGGCGAAATTTTGAATTTATAAACATTCGCGATGTGTTCATACGGCGAGTAATCATGGAACCTTCGATGTGACAACACCGTAGTGCTATTCCCTGTAAAGCGGCGTATGGTCGCCTCAAGTAAAAGAATGCGTGTGCCTTTAATAAAAACAATGGGGCGAAACTAAATAAAAAAACATTTTGAAAGGTGAATCTTAGGTTTGAAGATGCTTATCCAGCAAGACTTCAAACGACAAAGTTAAAAACAGGCAAATATTCCAAGGGTGATTTTACAGTATTCAAGCAGGATACTGGGAACCATGCCACCAAGTTGAAAAAGGCCAAATAGCAGGAAAAAAGTACTTGCATAACTGTACAACGACAATAATGTGTGCTAAATGATTTCAATGATAGAACATATAACATCATTGTATTAAATGTAGTGGGAACTATATAGTAAAATAAAAAGGAATGTTGCCATAAAAATAGAGAAAACGAAGAAACCCCTTAACAAAGCCAAGTAACAGACATAATTTTAAAATTTGGCCCGGGTCAATTTGATTCAGTCTGTTATAATGTACTGAAGGGAAATGCATGTTTCCCTCCCAAACCCCCAGCAACCCAAAAGTGAATCATAATGTTTAAAAATAACCTTAAAAAATATAAGGTTTTATTAAAAATCAATATTGAAAAATCAAAAAATTACCTGAAAAATAAATAAAATTTTAAATTCATTTAATCTTATTTTTTCTTATAATAAAACTAAAAATAAAAAATTTTAAAGAAAACGTGTTTGGTAAAATTTAGAAAGGATGTTTGACTTTAACATAAAAAGGTTTAAAATTTTAAATAATTTTTGGGTTTATTTTCCCACAATTAATAAATTTGAATTACTTAAATCATTTACCATGAGAGGCTTAACTGATCGCTATTTTGTATGATCTAATAATACATATAATTGTTACAGTGAAGCCTGTGATTTAATTGAAACGTAATCAATCAATGTAAAATATACTTAAACTACAACAAAAAACCCATTCAAAGCAATCAGTCGTGGTATATAGGTCGCTTTAATCATTGTACGTAGAGAAATATCATACATCACGCCACTGTCCATGATATTTTCAGTATAACATAATTTATTTTGATCGCATTATGTGCATTTAAAAAAAGTCAGGCTGACATAGATAGTAGAAAATTGTCGCCATATAAAACAATGTTCTTTGTTACAAACTTTGAAAGTTATCAGGCAAACAATCCTAAATCTTTCTCTATGTATAAACTATTGGAAATTAATTCAAAATATGAATAACAAAAAAATGCAATGTTTTTCATAGTTGTCATTTTTTTATCAAATTCTGAATTCAGATATATTTAACAATTACATATTTACCTTTATCAAACAACCATGCCGATTTTGCCACTCTGTAACAATGGGATTGCACGGCCGTGCATATATTTTGACGTGACGTCATTAGTGTTACACAAACATAGTGTAAAGACGCACTAAATGTTAGCGTTATACTATAAACGTGAATGAACAATGATTATTTTTCCCTTTAAACTGTCTTTTTTTTAGTATGTGATAAATAGAATATTAAATTCGTGTAAATTCATAACTGAATTTATTGAACTCGTTGAATAAAACAATATTATGCTCACCAGAGGCTCACATAATATAACTTTATTCAACGCGTGCAGTAAATTCAGTATTGAACGTACACTCGTTTAATATACTCTATGTTACACACATTTCTTTAACTTGCAAAAAGAGTCAATAAGTGAATATTATTTATTGATTTATTTGTACTGATTACAGCAGACACCTTTTTCTTTCAGGGAGAAAAATAAAACAACATCTGTATTACATATTTAAACGTCGTTATTTGACGGTGTATAAGCTTAAAATGTTTGCTATTACAATCAATAGTATGTTTTAAGTTACAAATATATATATATTTCTTTTAAAAAATGGACTTTATTAAACATATGGTAAGATCAGTTAAATTCACTTTTATATTTAGAAATGTGATATATTTTCAATAAAACTATTACTTTACCTGTCGCAAAATCAGTAAACCTTTCTTATTCAAACCTTTCATTATTAAAAGAAAACCTGATATATTTCTATACACCAAATATCTTACGAGAATTCTTTAATAAGAAAGTTGTATTTACAGTTATTGTGTTTTTTTATGAATGTATGAAGCATTTTGTACGGAAGCCCTGGAGGGACATTTATCATTTAAAAATTATTACTTTTTACCTATCATTTATAACTTATTACTTATTATTGACAGGTTATTATTATATTTAGTATTGAAACGCGTTATGTTTGGCAGGAAAAAAATATGTTTACATCCTAACAATTAGCGAAAATGATGAAGGAGAACATCATTTATAGACGGTCATATATAACGGGAGCCCTGGACTTATTATTTATTACGTCTTAATAATTTTATCATAATTATCAATTATAATATATTACTCATTATTTATTACTTATTATGCATCACTTATTACTTATTTCAGTCGTATATCTCATTTAAAATCTATGTATGTTGTAGTCTGATTAAATAATGGATGCAATAAATATGTTTAAACTAAATACTTCTTAAATTATTATATAACTAAGATATACTCGACTGCTATAGGTATTAATTAAGTGATAAATAATAAGTTATAAATAATAATAAAATATATTATAATTGATAATTATGTTAAACATTTTAAGTAATAAAGATAAGTAATAAATAATTATTTTCTTTACAGGGCTGCCGTATTTTATGAGCTTCTATAAATGATGTTCCTACGGAAGCCCAGGAGGGACATTTATTGTTTAAAAATTATAACTTATTACCTATTTTTTATTACTTATCACTTATTATTTACAGACTATAACTTATATTTAGTATTCAACAACGGCATGTTTGGCAGGAAAAAAACTGTTTACATAAAGACAATTACTGGAAAAGATGAAGGAGAACATCATTTATAGAAGGTCATGTTATGCGGAAGCCCTGGAAGGAAGATTATTATTTATTACTTATTATTTATTACTTAATATGTTTTATATAATTATCAATTATTATCTATTACTTATTATTTATAACTTACTATTTATCAATTTATTTCTTATTTAAGTCAATTATTTTTAGTTACATAATAATTTAAGAAGTATTTAATTTTAACATATTTATTGCATACATTATATAATCAGACTACAACATATACAGATTTTAAATAACATATTCGACTGAAATAAGTAATAAGTGATAAATAATAAGTGATAAATAATAAGTTATAAATAATAATAAATATATTATAATTGATAATTATGTTAAACATTTTAAGTAATAAATAATAAGTAATAAATAATTATTTT